TATTTAGATCTCTGTTAACTGTTCATGAAGAGCAGCCAATGGTGATTCAGGCTCTTCTTAGTGTTTTGTTTTGTTTTCATCATTGGTCCATTGGTGGAGAAGGAGGTGGTGGCTCTTACTCAGTAAATGAAGTTGCAAGAGGTGTGGGTGTAGTTGTGTCTTATGGGGACTGTTGCTATCTCCCACTCAGTTAGACAAAAATTACAAGAGACTGACCATCAAAAAATTAAAAGCCCATGGACAAAAAATACACCATGTAATCACACTAGAACAGTAAACAAACAAGCAAAGAAATAAAAGACCAAGAATAAAGGGGAAAAAATGAAGAAAAAAAAAATGGGATAAATGCAAAAAGAAAAACAAGGAATGGGGTTAACCATGAGAAAAGAAGATAAAAGAAAAAAACAATAATAATTGCAACCAGGAACAGGGAAAAGAAAAACATCTGAATACTAGGATCTGGGAGGAGAAGAATAAAGGATAATGGTACAAAGGACAATAGTAATAATAATAATGTTGTTGTTGTTGTTGTTATGTACCGTCGAGTCAAACCCGAGTCATAGCGACCCCTCCTTGAGTTTCCTAGGCAGTATCACTATGGAAGTAGGATTGCCCAACCTTCCTTCCGAGGAGCGGCTGGTGGGTTTGAACCTCCAGCCATCTGGTTAGCAGGCAAGTGTCTTAGCCACTATGCTACCAGAGCTCCCAATAATAATAATAGTAGTAGTGGTTTTGAAACAAACAAAAACAAGCAAAGTAAAAAACAGAAAAAAGAAAGAGGAAAAAAAATCGGAGGAAGGCACAGCAGGGCACCCAGGCTCGGTCCGAGCACACAGACTGGGATGGAGTTCCTGCAGGTCCAGAAGGTGGGTTGGAATGGGGGAGGACTGCACCTCTGTTCACCAAGCTGGTGTGGGGTATAAGAGCAACAAGGGGAATGTCACACCTCTCCAGCCGTCCAGGTCTGGAATGTCCTTAGGGTTACTGGCAAGTGGAATCTGTTCCTAAGCCCCTGGAATCTGGGAGAATGCTGTCACTTTAAATATCCAAAATGGTCAAGCCACTTGTAAACATTTAAAATGGCTGCACCCTCTGGACAGGCAAAAGTCCACAGCTCAGCCTGCCTTCCTCTTTGTTGCTGCTCATCTTTTATTCCCCAGCAACCAGAGCAGTCCTATGTGCAGTCCCTGGCTAGCAGGACTGATCTTTAGGCTAATTTTTAGGTCCCACCACCACTGGACAATCTCCAAGCTGTCTGTGCCATCAGGATCACTCAGGATCACTGCCAGACCACAGCTCTGTATGTCTCCTGTTTCGATATTTTCATACAAATTCTTCTGCTGGTTGGAGTTTAGTCCACTTCTATATCCTTCCCTTCAAGGCTCAGGGGTCCAGGATTATCTTCTGTGTCTGTGTTAATTGGTTCTCCTTTTTTTTCTTGAAGAAGGTCTGTGCAATCTTTCTGCCTATTCCGCCATCTTACCAGAACTATCCTATGCATCTTTCTCTCTCTAAATATCCTCTAATATTTCTCAAGGTTATGGTTGTAGTAGATACTAGATGAAAGTTCATAGAATTGAACCTTGAGGATTAATGCTTACTCACAAAGTAAGCATCTATATGCTAGTGAGAGCAATTTTTCTTGGAAAGCCTTGTCCAATGACTTATCTGGAAAATGGAAGTGTAAGATTCATGCATAATTAAAATTCAAGAATTTTATATTTATATTTATATTTATGGTAAACTCTAAGATATGAGCACAATTGAGTCTTCTGAAGAAATGTAATCAGACTTCATCCCATAAAGAATTTGAAGTAAGGATAAAATTATATAGCATTGTCTTAATAAACTTGCTGATAATGATCTCTTTATAAAGGCAATGTTTTCATCTAGTAGTGAATAGAATAATAAACATAAGATATTGTGATATATTTTGTTTTTCAGAGTGACTATGTACTTAGTTTTTTCCTTGCTGAACCTGTGAAACAAATTGAAGAATCATCACTTTTCAACCCAGGCAAGTGAAATCTCCATTATTACTATACGGAATTATTTAGTTTCAATGGAATTGTGTAAAAACAGAAAAAAAAAAAAAAGAAAGAAAGAAAATCTCAACCAAATTTATTTTTCAGTTTTCAAATTAAAATCTCTTTTGGAGATAGAGAACTTAAGAATACATTCTACCATTTCCAAAGCTTCTAAACCCATTAGAATATGTTCTCCAAGTTGAACTCATATGTGCTTGTCCAATTACCATAACTACATGATGTTATACAATTAACCTATTTGAATTCATTGTGCATTGAAATAGACTTCCATGTCAGAGGAAAAGTTCCTGATGGCATAGTGCCTAAGGCATGTGACTGCTAACCAGAAGGCTGGTGGTTCAAACCCACCAGCCACTCCTAGGAATGAAGACTGGGGAATCTACTTCCATAGAGATACTGCCTCGAAACCCAAAGAGGGGTGACTATGAGTCAGATCTGATTCGATGGCAGTGAGTTGTTTTCCTATTTTTTGGAACTTGCAGTTTACTCCACATCTTAGAAAGCAGTAAAGTAAGTAATAGATGATAATAATTATTGTTTCTCTCTTTTCAAGAGCAACAATTACTCTACCTCCTTCACAAAGTCTTCTTACCAGGGTCTAAAACCATCCTAGCACAATCAGCCAACCTGTTTTCTGCCAAATGTGTACTAATTCTAATTAACATTTCTATCATCTCTCTTAGATGGCAAACTCTTTTTGAATGTTCTATCAATTTTAAATATTTGTAATAGAATTGCATTCAAAGCAGTGGCTTGTGGATACCTGTCACTGGTATTTATCTCACCCAAGATTGAAAACACATAATGCCAAACATCACCCCATACCTGTTCCCCCCAACACACACACAACTCCCAGCTTTTATTTTATCCACACTTACCTCCTCAATCTCTGCTTTTAAAAATCAGGCCCATCAACCTATCATCCCTGCTCCCATCTGAGAGCCTTGTTACCTTTGAGATGTATAACTCTGAACATTGAGATCAGGTTGTATACTATAATTGGTTTTTAAGTTATATATTTATGTTTGTGTCTACTTTAATTCTCCTCTTAGACTAAAAGTAACTGTAAATCAAACACTTGCTTCTCCAGTATGAATTGCTCTGTATTCACAAATGTTAATTATGGGATTTGTACATCACTCACTCCTTTCCTTACATTTAACTCACAAGGGCTATTCCTTTTTTATGCTTTCATTACATAGTCATACTATAGACAATATTAGATAAGGAAGGTAATTTCTTATATTTTATAGCACCTACCAAAAAAAGGATGATGACTACAATATAAAATAAAATAATAACACTGATAATTAGCAGAATTCTAGAAAGTCACATTTAAAAAAAAAAAAAAATAGGGTGTACTAGATTTACTTCTATTCTGTGATTAAAATCCCTCAAGGAGCTCTGGTAGCATAATGGCTAAAGCACTTGACTGCTAACCAGAAGGCTGGTGGTTCAAACCCACCAGCCACTCCTCGGAAGGAAGGTTGGGCAATCCTACTTTTGTAGTGATACTGCCTCGGAAAACCAAGGAGGGGTCACTATGAGTTGGGGCCGACTCGATGGCACATAACAACAACAACAAGAAAATTGCTTCTCTATGTTTCAAAAAATTAAACAGTGGATCACTGTCAAATTTTAAATTTTGCTGATAATATAATTTCTCTGTAAATTGCTTAAAACAGATAATAAACAGACACACAAAAAAATCTTGGATTATTATTACCATTTTAGTTGCTTGAGAATTCTTTTTGTTTTTTACTTGCTTGATTTGTTAACATGCCATATAATACTCAACATTTGTTTTAGCAGCAAAGATGGACAAAAGATTTGATTTTCAATATTTTTAGCTGATAGGCTGCATACAAAACACAGCCTATTATCTTAAAACAACAAAACACTTCTTCCAAGAAGAATATGAAAGTCATTGTAAAAAACATGGATTAGCAGGAAATTATGTCTTCCTGCATCCTTAAAATTATTTCCTCTTTCATACTTACGAATTCTTACTCTTTCGTCAGATGATCCTAAGAAGCACAGTAAGAACAAAAAGAATTAAGTATTTTCTTGTCAGTTGAAAATTTGAGCTTACATTTTTAAATGATCACAAGATGAAAGTATTCAAGAGTATACAAAATCTTGGTTTATGCAGGACTATCCTAAGCAAAAATCTCAGAACTTCATCATTGTACTGCCTTCTACTAATAAATTAAGAAGATGAATAATGTATCTTGGCAGGTGACTTATTATGGGACAAACAGCAACCCAGGATCTGGGAGAAATTAATTTTCCTTTGTCTTTAGCCACTAAGGAAACACACCTTAGGAGAACAATAGAGAAATTTACCTTTTAAACTTTCAACCCAGTGGTCTCTACTTAAAACTTTTCCTTGGCTCTTCTTGCCCTTAGGCAGGGCCAGCTTCATGGGCTTGGGCATGGCACTTAGAAAGATCCTGAGCTTTATTTAATATTCTTCAGTCATTGTCTTGAAAGTCTTAATTTTTCTTTTTCCAAAAAGGGGCTCCACATTTTCATTTTTCACTGGGTGTACTAATTATGCAGCCAGTCCTGCCCATAGGACGAACACCAAAATCCTTGTTATGCTGTCCTAGAAGGATCTGGCATGCAACCAGTTTCTCTTTTCAATCTAATACCAGTCCATTTCTTATCTTGATTTCTGCTTCTTTCCAATTGCTCAACTGAGTCAAACTCCTCAGTACCTTACATTTTTTTAGTTCTCTCTACCTAGCGTGCTTGACACCTATCCTGCCTTCTACATCCTTCAGACTTCATCTCAATTATCATTGCTTTATGTTCTTTCTTCAAAACACTTATAGCAACCATGACTTTGGCTTGTATGCTGATATGTAAACTAGACAACCAGGATGATATAATCCAGGTATACGGGGCTAATTATTGTATCCCCAGGGCCTACCACAGTGTCAGGACTCTTCTATATGTTTATAAATTATTATCAAATAAATGATTAATGATAGGAAGAACAACTATAGAGAACACGGATATTCTTTATCACAGTAGTTTGTCATTTTTTAAAAAGAAGACATGAGGGAAGAAATCAAAATCATGCTACTCTACTCATACATCATAACATCAAATGAAAAATCCTGGCACAAGGAATTCAAGGATCCCAAAGAAATATCTATCAATACATACATATATATATATATATATCTGTAAACATTATTTTGTTTCATAATTGGCATTTTATTGGTTGTTTTAAGAGTCAGTACAGAGACACTCTGAACAATTTATACACAATTCTTAATGTACATAAAAAAATTAAAAAAGCTTTGTAGTTACAGTTCTTTTCTAAATTTCAGGCACTTTCCAGCTCTAAATTTGGAGGCATATTTTTCTTAAGAGAATAGCAAGTATCAATATCTTCAATTGTTGATAAGTTTTTATATTATAAATCTTAGTAATTTACAATTTAACATCACATGCAAAACACACTCAAATTTCTAACTTTTCACAGCATTTCAGAAAGTTATTAGGAAAGAAAGAATGCACAATTCTGGCAGGAAGAGAGAGCCATGATGAGGTAGGGTTTTCTTTAAAAAACAATTCTACCAAAAAAGCCATGGAAATAGAAGTTTAAAATGTTGAAGACACATAAATGCATGATCATAATTCCAAACTGCCATGAAGTATACTTTATATCATGGAATATAAAAACTGCCCCCTGTGGAATGTTGGACTCAGAAGAGGATGTGGAATGAAGGATATCATTGCTGATGTCAGATGGATCTTGACTCAAAGCAAAGAATACCGGAAAGATGTTTACTTGTGTTTTATTGACTATGCAAAAACATTTGATTGTGTGGATCATAACAAATTGTGGATAACATTGAGAAGAATGGGAATTCCAGAACATTTCATCATACTCACGAGGAAATTGTCCATAGAACAGGAGGCTGTCCTTCGAACAGAACAATGGGACACTGCATGGTTTAAAATGAAGAAGGCATCAGAGTTGTATCCTTTCACCATACTTACTCAATCTAGATGCTGAGCAAATAATCCAAGAAGCTGGACTATATGAAGAAGAATGTGGAATCAAGATTGGAGGAAGAATCATTAACAACCTGCAATACGCTGATGACACAACTTTTGTTGCTGAAAGTGAGGATGACTTGAAGTACTTACTGATGAAGATTGAGGAATATAGTCTGCAGTATGGATTACATGTCAATATAAAGAAAACAAAAATCCTCACAACTAGACCTATATGCAGCATCACAATAAATGGAGAAAACATTGAAGTTGTCAAAGACTTCACATTGCTTGGTTCTACAATTGGCATCAATGGAAACAGCAGTCAGGACATCAGATGACATATAGCACTGGACAAGTCAGCTGCAAAGGACTTCTTTCAAGTGCTGAAGAGCAGAGATGTCTCCTTGAGGACTCAGGTGTACCTGACACAAGCCATGATATTTTCATTTGCCTCATATGCATGTGAGAGCTGGACAGTGAATAAGGAAGACCGAAGAAGAATTGATGTTTTTGAGTTGTGGTGCTGGTGAAGACTGCTGAAAGTACCATGGACTGCTAAAACAACTAACAAATCTCTCCTGGAGAAAGTGTGGCTGGAATGCTCCTTGGAGGTGAGAATGGCCAGACTTCATCTCACCTGTTTTGATCATGTTATCAGAAGGGACCATTGCCTGGAAAAGGATGTCATGCTTAGTAAGGTGGAGGGTTGATGAAAGAGGGGAAGGCCCTCAACGAGATGTATTGACATAGTGGCTGCGGTGATGAGCTCAAGTACAACAACGATCGCGGAGCTGGTGTGGGATCAGGGGTGTTTCGTTCTGCTGTGCATAGGGTTGCTATAAGTCAGAGACAACTCCATGGCACCTAATAACAACAACAATATGAGAAAAAGATAAAGCAATGGGATAATTGGAATAAGAGCCACAAAACAAACCGATGAAACACAGGGAGG